TTTAAAAACTGTTTTAACATGTCCTGAAATACTGTTGTTTGGGGGAGGGGGGGTTTGCATTTAGCCACCAAGGACTTACAACCAATGGCTTTTGCAACTGTAAAGCTGGTAGCATCAGAGGGATTGATTCTCATTACCAGCTATTTACTGGTACAGAATGAGTGGAATAATTTTATGCTTTGGTATTTGTTTTCTTATTGCAATTTTTTTCTTTTACTCAGTTCAGATCTCTGTCTCAAACACTGCCTTTTCTTTTTACATATGTACACATGGACCAGCTTATACACATATATAACATGTATACACACACACACTTTCACAAGGGCTTTTTAAACAGACCTAGACATAAGAATGTGCTGTACCAGTTGCAATTTAAGAGTATCATGTACACATCTTGGTTATAGAAGGAACAGCCATTGCATGGAGAATCCTCCGTTTGCACACTCATGAATTTCCCCTCATACACAAAACTCCATCCACTTGGTATTAGTGCTGTGATCATTACCTGGCTAGGAGGACTACATCTTTACAGCATTTATCAGTGAGGATGTGGGCATCAGTATTTCTTGCTAACAAGCTTGACATAGCACCAAGCAGAGACCTTTTACAATAATTACAAGATGTCCGATTTTATTTCAGTTCAAAAAAGTTTCAATGGAATGATTTAAAAAAATCATATTACATGGTTTCACAATGATACTTTGGGGATATATGAATGAAAGCTCAATTCTAAAACTTCCCTATCATTTTAATAATTATGAAAATCATAGTGTCTTGAAACATTTCACCTGACTCGGGTAATAAGCTTTTGTAAAACCTTATTACCCAAGTCTCATCCTCATGAAATGAGCATTCATGCCTAATCTACACAATGAGAAACTCAGTTCCAAAGCTGACCCATTGTCTTCCAGATCCCTTTTCTAAATGCCAGACAACATCCATGCTCGTTAGCAATGGCAGGGGATTGGGCAACTTCATCTTCTGGAGTTAGGTCTAAGGACAAAAGCCTATGCTAAGTTTTCTGCCAATGCTAGAACTGAAAGTAGGTCAGTCTGCATGATTTCTTTTGTTAAACGTGAGGCATTTGTCACCTTCAGCACCAGCCTTTGCAAGTTAATAACTTCTGGATGGCATTTCAGAAAGCAAGAGAATCTGCTAGGTCACAGCTGCAAGAAATTTGCTATTTCAGTGGCTGACAACAATGCTGAATCAGAAACAAAATACAGAAACAGCAGGAAAGACTGCACTTGGCATCTCGTCTATTCTTGAAATTCTCTCTAATTTTCAATTAAAGATGCAGACTTCCTGCTATGAGCAATGAGTAACAGCAAACCCCAGTGAAATTCCTGGGTGACTGAGCTGGACTGATGTACAAAATGCATGTGGTACAGCATAGCTGAGAAGTACAGGCAAGACTAGCAGGCATGCCAGGTGCTGTTTCTTCAAGCCCTACAGACAAAAATAATGTCATTGAACGGTATTTCAAGTGACTGCTGACACACTATTAGAACGGCAGCCCTTGTGCAGTCTTCCTGTCAGGGGTAAACTCACAAGAGCCTGTGAAGGAGCTCACAAGAGCTCCCTCTCTGATCCCCAAGGGTACACTGCCAGAGTTTCAGGAAGACACTCAATCATGAACCTTTAAACGGCATTTTTTTACGCACTTATCTTAAGGATAAACAGACTTTTAACTTGTGATCCACTTTTCCAGCTCTCATTACCTGAGGGGAAAGTGTTACTGTTTGCAAGTTCAGCAAACCAAGTAGATGGATAAACACTCCACCTTTTAAAATGTACTGATGTATCAGAGGTTTCAGCTACCCCATCATACACTTGTGTAAGTCTGATCACAGGCCGGGACTGATGCTTGCCACGCTCAGCAGGCCCTCAGATAAATACAGAGATGACGATGCTGTTGCATGCAGCCCGTGCTCAGAGAGGCAACTCCTCTTCATAAAGCAGCTCTTCTTGAGTCCTGGCAGAGACTCTCACAAGCTGGGTGTACTTCATTGTGCAGCAGATGCAGAAGCCAACCTTGGAGGTGTCCAACATGGCCCACTGCATCTGTGTTCAGCAAAGCATGCTTAGCTCCATCTCAGCTCAGCAGCTGCGCACTGTCCTCTGAAGAAGGGTCAATTCAGGGGTTGTTTACTCAGAGCAATTATCACATCCACATCAAGAAAAGCAAGTGGGTTTTTTCCCTATTTTAAGCTGAGCTACACGTATCCTGCTGGCAACCCACTGCAATGGAATAAACAACTCGGATCTTTTGCCTCCTCCAAGTTTCAGGCAAAACACATTATTCTTTCCAACCCTGAAAAAGGGGTGGAGGGCCTAGTTAGTGTTGTTTTCTCGATATCCTCAAGCTGAAGTATTGCTAAATTCCTCATTTCTTGGTTAAAAAAATCATATTCAAGAAATTTCATATTCATCTTTTGGTTAAGTTTTCCTACAGATTTTTCTGCAGAGTATAGTGACTGCAGTGCTTCAGGGGGATATCTGCTTGCTTTTAAAATAGCTTCTTGTGTAATTATTCTTTACTGACAGTTCTGATAATCTTATATGTTACGAAAGCTTCTTTTTAGAAATTCTGTTCTGTAGGACAAATTTAGAAATTAAAGCAAGAGCAAAGTGTCTTCACATTTAGATTTCAGTGTAAAAGAAGTGAATGTCACAGTGCAGATCCTTGCATCACATGACAATTCGGTAGTGCTTAATTTCTTCCCTCACCATAATCATAATTGCCATATATTACATATGATCTATGGGAGCTTTCTCATGCCTGCACCTGCGCAGGCTGGCTATTCCATTATTTCAGCAAAAATGACTTTTCCTTTCTAACACTGAAAGACCAAATGAGCAAGTACAAAAATCCCATTGCCATGAGCCACAACATTTGCAGCAAAAAGCGCTGCAGGCTTGCAGGAAGAGTTCATTGTGTATTTTTCCCCTCACTAAGAGCTTTACCCTTCAAGCTGCCAATCCCTTGGCTCCTGCTCCAGCAAACCACCTAGAACTCTTCACGTGGATTATGTATAGAAAGCAAAAAGGTTCTCCTGGATTCTGGCAAAAGGTCTTGGCATATTGCACAACCAAGCCCCTGGAGCCTAACCGAACATGGAGTGACATCAACAGAAACAGAAATCGAGACTACCTAATTCAAATAATTCCTTCCTCAGTCACTTGCCAGGCCTTCAAAAGCACAGTATACAATTTTTAGGCCTATACGTGAAATTGGATTATGCCCCTGCATTTCTGGCAAGTCACCTGCATGACCCTCAGTCTAACAAAACTTGCCTTGATCTGAAGTGACTACCCATGCACAGCCCAGTGAGGCATTTTGCATATGCTTATTAGTGGCTTTTGTTGTATTCTGTCTTTCCCTCTGAAAACATCTTAAACGACTAACTCTGGATGCCAAAGAGATAACAGATAATTAGATAAGAGATAATTTGGAGACTAAGTCAGTTAACTTCAAGTAAAATGGTTTGCGTATTGGATATGCACCACTAATGAAGTATTTTGCTTTTCATTAACTAAAAGACATTGACATTAAATAATGTATAACACTGAGATCTTCCAAAGTGTACACTTCAGATCTAAGGACAGCAGTAGCCAGGATGCCTTTACAAGCTTCTACACAAAAAAACAAAACAAAACAAAAGAAAAAATGTAATGATCAAAGTCTTTGTTTCTTGCTTCACAATTCTGGCTCCCATAAGCACAAGCTCCCCTGGATTTCTCATTTTGGTGTTTTGGGATCCTCCCCAAGAAAAACCATCTGGGTGAACAACATTTTAAAGCCATAGATTGAGCCTCATGTGATTGAATACAGTTGACCTAACTGGCTGAAACCACTGCCAGTTTCTTTGTGTGCTGGGGAGTTCAACCAGCAAAAGACACAGTGTTCTTCCACTAGGGACATGGTGGTACGTGTTTCATTAGGAAAGGGGGAAGCAATGTAAAAGGACATATGTTAGGCGGAAAGTGAAAATATTTTAAAGGGCAAGGGGGTAGGTGAAGACTGAGAAGACAATTTCCAAGGAAGAACAGCCAGTAGAATGAGAGCAGAAACAGAAGCAGAGTGAAAATCCTACTGATCCTCTATGAATACAGAAAAAAAAAAAAGGAGGGAATTAGAAAGAATAACAAACCAATACAGTAAAAAAAAAAGGGGGGGGGGGGACACCAGAAACAATATGACTTGTTTATTTTTGCTTTTCCTAGTGATACAACTACAGCCATAGAAAATTCTAGTACATTGCACTGCAAAAGTGAGAAAATTTGCTGGCGACATCAGATGTAAAAATGAGTTGCCTGGCTTCCACTCACCTGAGGATATCAGCACAGACTGAAGAAATCCCCAATCCATTGCATGTTCTTCCAACCACTCGTCTTGTACACTACTGCACAGCAGAGCTGGGTTTGTTGCTTCCAAAGCAGGACTGCACCCATCCATCAAGCAGCCTGGACAACAATTCTGGGCTTTGAGACCTGCCGAGCAGAACTTCACCACTTAATTATTCCTCCTACAGCCACAGAGGAGAGCAGCCAGGAGACACCTTGGCCATAGAGATGCCACAAACAGGCATTGTCTCAGAACTAAATAAAAAGAGACATTTTTCACAAAGTAGTGTCTCAGAAGAGTAGGTAAAGATTTACACAAAGATTTATGTACATTCATAACTCTGTCTTTCAGTAACACCAGAGTTTGTGAACACAGCATACAGCTTAAGTCCTGTAAAAGAACCAAGACCGAAGTGTCTGCTAGATAAGCTGGTCTAACACCTGAGTTTATGTACAACTGGACGCTGCGTGGAAATTTTATGTGTCTTCAGACTAAGCAAGTTACAGCAGCCACTACATTGCTTCCATCAGTCATTTCTAGACCATTATACCCAAATCCTAACTTTATTTCTTTTCATGTTGCTTGCAGAAAGGAAACGTCTAAACCCTACCACTGTACCATTAACTATTGTCCTCTACGAGATCTGAAAAGCATGAAGGCTGTAGCTCTCTTCATTTGTCTTGTAGGATCAGCTTTTGCTATTCCAGTAAGTCCTCATCATGCTGTTATTATTGGACACTTCATTTCCCATTCTGTGAATACTCTATGTTACCCCGTTGACCTGTACAAGATTTTTATTTACATGCAGATATTGAATATATTTGTCTATTCTAGACCCATCCTTCAAACTACAAACTCGGAACCCAGGGACAGAAAACTCCAGAAAAGGTACTCCTCTTGTTCTGTAAACATTAAAAGGCAACCTATATTATTCATCTCAAATATATAAAACACATTAGCATATAAGTAGTGGTTGGCAAACTCATTTAGGTTAAAAAACTGTAGGCTCCCTCACCCCAAGAATTAGTACCAGGCATCTCACACCTCACATTTTACACAGCTAGAAATGGAACAACAGAAGTTTCACTTATTTGAAAAAATTACCTTAAATGAATCCTCACATATAATCATTACACCCATATTTGTACATACAACAAGCTCCACTGACAGTCAAACTCATCATTATCGCTGCTCCAGTAAACAAGGAGAATGCAATCCTCAATTTATCACACCAAGTGATCATATGCAGTCTCAAATGTGTAAGAATTTTAGCCACCATATGTTTCATTATTCACAATACAGAGCATTAGCTACAGCTCATCTTGGAAAAGTACACTGTGACTGCCAAGACAGCCCTGATGGTAATGAGGCAGATGACTTCAGCAGCCCTATGCCATATATGCATGCTAATGACAGAGCTCACCATTTTGCATTCACGGTTGACCCAAATTAAAATTCCTCTTTATTGCACCATTCCGGTAAGCATTTGTGGTTCAGACACAATGGACCTTGGCTCCAACCCAATTAATGTTTTGGAAGAACTAAATTCAGAGCATGTTATTGTAGTAAGAAATGCAAAATCCCAACTCTTATGCTAACTTTTTTTTTTAAATTATGAATTATTTCCCACTCTGTGCAGCTTTCCAGATACATTTCATGTCATTCCAAATGGTGCTCTGCATTCTGAAAGCAAAAAAAAATTAACTTTTCCTAATGAAGTATCTAGCAGAACAAACTATGGTATAAACACTAGTTTGCAGCCTACAGCTGTCTCCCAGAAACAACTCATACAGAAGACACTTGCATCAAAACAAAACATTGCAATACCTGACGAATCATCAATTCCAACTGAATATGCAACATCAAAGGCCAGTTGTCCCCTAACAGTAGCTAATTATAGCTACATTGACTGAAATTTGCCATCATATTAAGAGACCCAAATATTGTCACAAGCAAGCAAGTTCTAAAAGTTTATTTTATCCTGGGGACAAATGCATAACAAAAAGCAGCAGCTGAAAATCACGTCCATGCACATCTCTGCACTGAGGTTGTGGCACATGACAAGGCTTCCTGTCAAGACACGAGCCACATCTTTCTCACACTACTGCTTCAAATACAGGCATCCATAATAGACAATCTTAATGACTGTTTGGCCTTATATTTTCTAACTCTATAGAACTGGAAGCCCTTCACAGAAGACTGATTTTTGCTTAAATGTAAAAAACAAAATGTTGTACAGAGCAGTGCCCAAAAACACATGTAAAAAAATCCCTGTTCTTGAAAATTTTCAAATGTTTTAACATCAGCTTGAGATGCTTGGTAACACATAGATCAATTTTTATAAGGTCTTCGAGAAATGTGCATTTAATCTGGAAAAGCTCTTAACTGAATTTCTGTTAGATTTGAGGAAACATTGGAAATAACATAGCGAATATATTGCCTAGTACTTTTCCTACATCAGTAAGTACACTAGGCAAAAGACAAACTTCTAAAACATTCAGATACCACCTTGACATAAGGAAATAGGATATAGCTGATCTGCCAAGAGCTAAATTAATATTTCTAATCCTACCTTTTTTTTTTTTTTTAAATTTGTGTAAGTATTTGTTAGTGGAGTGTTTGTTTCCAAGCAGTCATGACTCTGCCCATGCTAAAGGAAATGCTATTCCAGCAACTTGGGCACTGAAGTAGTCTCGTCTTCATAAATAAACCCCCCAAAAGCTTTAAGGAAAATCAGCATCAGGTGCTATATTGTAATAAGCAATAAGCAACACTGAGCATCAGACATTGCTGCTATTGGAAGTGCCAGCACTCACCCCGCAGCTGCTGTGATGCTAACAGTAGTGGAAGGGCAATTGCTGCAGCAGGAGCTAACAGTCATTTTAGTACCTGCTTTCTCCTCAAGCATTTGAACCTTTTCCACTGAAGTTACTAGTTTTGCTATTGACTTGGCAGCATGCAAAAAAAGCCACTCAGCAAACACCTACAACTCTTACTAGTAAGTTTATGATACAGTAGCTGCCACCAAATACAATTCCTGATGAATTCAACTAGGAAGCAATGATGTATCAGACTCAAAGCAGATGAATACATCGATTACGAACTAGTTAAGATACAGTGCACTCCTCAGGAATTACTACCATGACACCTTGTGAAAGGTGCTCTCTCTCTCCCCCTGCCCCTCTTTTCCCAGGCCTCCCCATTTATCTGTGTAGGAAGATGAGTATCGTACCCCCCTTCTCTGAGGTAAGCGATAATTACTGCAGCCTCTAAGTACCTGAAGTTATGACACTAAATTACTAATTACACATTTTGAGATTTCACAAGACACCCGTATGCATCTATCTCCTATGCGATCTTAAACAGAGTTGCATAGACTTCTTCAGAAACTCCAGCAATAAAAGAAAGGACAGATAAACCAATTGCTGAGAAATGGAAATTACATCAGCTGTGAATTTCATGCTCTGGGCTAGCTTAAGAGGAGCATTTACAAAAAAACCCCTCAGTGTCATGCTTTGCAATAGAAGGAAAAAATAACATTGTGTTGACTTCAAATAAATTCTACGATTTATTTATCTACTTGTTAATTTATTATTTTTTTAAAGACTGAAGATATTCATCTTGAAGCCCCAAAGGAAGAGAACACAGGGTATGTAGACAATGGTGATTTCCTGCCCAGTCACAAAAACTTAAACCTAGAGGTATCAGTACCAGATGCTGAGCACACGGATGAGCCCCGGACGACTAGAAAACAAGGAAGAACTGGTAGTGAACATCAAGTGAAAAACAGCCTAAAAAGCATCAATTTCCTTGCACTGCACAATAAACCGGGTTTGGCTTCTGATAACCAGGACAGTGACTCTGGAAGCAGTGGCAGAGAACAGTCCAGCTCTGAGCATTACCCGTTCAGGAGACATGAGAAACACAGTAATACGGCCAATCGACATGCTCTGGGTAATGCAGAAAATCCAGTGGGTGCTCTCAGTCTTGATCATGAACATAACATGTGGAAATATAATAAAAATACAGTTGGCCTATCAGAAAAAAATAGTGAAAGTGATGAAGAAGGTGTGGAAGAGGATGAGGAATGGGGTGAAGAAACTGATTCCAGAAATATGAAGCACAATATCCACCAGCCAAATCAAGGTAACCAATACAAAAGACCGCAAAATGAAAACAGTATGCAATCTGATGAAATCCTGAAAGATTCCAGTCAACCAATCCGAATAACCAAGAGACATGGTGAGAAATTTGACCTGGAAGAGAGGAAGAACAGCCAGAAGCAGCCCTATAAAGAAGAAATCCCCCTCTCTCAAAAAACCCATAATGAAAATCAAGATGACAAACGGCAAAGCCAACAGAGGAAAGACAATATTCAAGTAAACTATCAGAGTGATCACGACACAGTGGTGGAAAGACAAGGTACAGAGGACAGCAATGATGATCATGATGATGGTCATGACAGTGGTGATGTTGATGGCGAGGAAGATCTCAGCAATACATGGAAAGAGGCAGCCTATGAGGAAGAGGAGAGAATCCAGAGTAATGACCAGGAGAGCACCAGTACTGAGCATGAAGGGGAAGGAGCCACCGAAGATGACACTGCAGTTCATAGAGACACCAAGGATTACCAAGATGTCAACATTAAAGACTTTATTCACTCTGAACAAAATTATTATGAGCCACCTAATTCTGACAGCAAGCAAAAACTGGAAACAAGCAGCTCTGTTCAGAGCATGAATTCAATGGAAAGTGAAGATAAGGTAAGTTCTCTTTAAAATAAAGTTGGAATACTAGAAGAAAAGAGGGGGGGGAGGGAAACCAGTCCCAAGTTTAAATTCCTGATGATTGAAAGGATATTTTGGATAAAAACAGGTGTAATAAATTATTAATATGCAGAAGTCTCCTCTCCCCTTTTATTCACTACTCATCTGGTTCATGCTGTGTCACTTTACATACAACTTTTAAATTAATTGTACCAGAAAGGAAGCGAGCACAACTCATGTAAGAGCTCCAGCCCTAATGGGCTGTGTAATGAAACATATAAATAAATAAGGATACACAGATGCAAAACCTGGAACCCAGTCTCAAGCTAACTAGGAAAGGCTGTTCACTCCTCTCTGCCAAAGATTTCAAGCACTACCATACAAAAGTGAACAGCTTGGAAAGGCAGGGCGAGAGTCCCCGTAATAATTACCATCCTAGAGGCTAGGGACTTTCTCATAAGATTAAGGATGAGGGCTTTGTCCCTTCAGACGAAGGAGGATGCTGTACCCAGGTCTCCCGTACCCCAGTCAGCTGTTAGATAACCAGTGGACTATGAGGGGTGTTCTTCCAAAGAAAGGAATGAGTTTTCCTATAGCTGTTAAATAAGGATCTGTAATAAAGAAATGATAGGAAGCATCCATTTGAAAGAGGGCAGGCACCTCCCCATAGCACCAAAGAAGGGTCAGAACTGAAGATGCATCCTTCCCTTCTCCTCCCGCTTCACGGGTCTGGCCCGGCAGCTCATGGTGCTGCTGCTCCCAGGCACTACTGAGAGGCAGCTCTCACTCGCTGAGCTGGAAGGCCCTGGTGCAAACTAAGACTTGAAGCACCAACTTTACCAGCCTTGAGGCACTACGCTGCTCTGTGTCAAGTACTGCAGAACCTCCAGGTGCTCAGGCCTTACTAAGCTCCTGTCTCTCTCTCTCCACCTCCTACTTCCCCGCCCCCAACCTCCAAATAACAGAGTGCCTTAATACTACCAGAGGTTTTATGCACTTCTCATGCACTTTGCATAGCAACCTCTTTCTGCTGCAAGCAGAGCAAACCGTGCCTCAGTCAGCTCTATATTTGTACCTGAAAAAAATTTTGTCCAAGCATTTTTTTCTTCCCAAGATTTACCACAACTTCTGCTTATGTCTCTGTGACTGTACAGGTTAAGACTACAGGCAGCTCCTATGGTGAAACGGAAAGTGCAAACAACAGGAGTGAGAAGGCTTTCCTGGGTAAGCCACAAGCAAAGCCATTGTGTAATTGCTAACTCTCTGTGGCTGGGGAATCTGCTGGATTGCATTTCTTTTCTGCCTTTGGCAGCACGCAATTTCATGTGACTGAACTGTGCTTGTACATAATCCTGCATCGCAGTTATGTTCCCAGAGAATACCCTTGGATTTACTCATTTGTTTGTGAAAAACATTTGTAGACAACGCACAAATTTTTGTGTCAGTTATACAGAAATGGGAATTACCTTGCATTGAAACTGTTCAGTTTCAGAACAGTAGCTTGAATTCAACCAGGAGTGGGACAAGTGCCAGTGCTGGATTCAGTAAGGACAGATGGGATATGTTTCACCAAAGGAAGCTAGAAGTGAATGTCAGTCCTTATAGAAGAAATAGCTTTTTCTGAGAAATTTATTTCCCCATCCAACTCAAACCTGGGACTGCTAGAAGTCTCAAGAAAAAATCTCATTTAAAGTTTGGCTTTCTTTAATCAACACAAGATCCAGCTGAATTTTAACAACCTTACAAAAAGCACATGATTCCTTGGTGAATATTGGGCTATATTTTGCTTTGACTGTTAGTAGTACCTGACAAAACTTGGCTTCATCCCATCCCCTCTAACAGTCCCTCCTTCTTGCTATGATTGCTAGACCCATGTAGGAACTTCCACTGCAAAAGAGGTAAAGTCTGCCATGCGGACAAGCAAGGGAAACCCAGGTGTATTTGCCAAGATCCTGCTGCTTGCCCCTCCACCAAAGACTATGAGCATGTAAGTATTTCATTCAGTGCCCAGCATGAGGGAAAGCCAACTAAATGTTTACAAGATGATACATTCCCCTGCTATTATTTAGAATAATTCTACTCTAAAAAGCATGCAAGTGCATTTGGGTGATTCCAGTAATTGTAAAATTATAAAGTACCCAAACTCACCAACTATAGCTTGAGAATTGTATGAATACATGTAGCTACGTAGTACCTAAAGTGATTTGCTTCACTGAGTCTCTCAGGGATCATAGCTTTTCCCTGTCACTAAAAGTTCTATTTATCCATTTGATGTTTTAGAGCATATACTGAATACTAGTACATAGCTAGTGTAATAATCCTGTACTATCTCAGAAACTATACCACTACCACACACAAATAAATTCAAGTGCCTCAAAACTGGGTAAGTACAGATCTTATGTAGGCATATAACAACTACAATTTTCAGTACTTCTGATCACATGTATTCCCTGTGGGTATTTTCAACTGCTACACCATATGTTAATGATACTTTTATTATTGTAATGCCTATATGAGTGACTAGAATTTTTCTCAACACAGTGGTGGGGGTGGTTTTGTTTTTCACTCCTCCTCTAGGTTTGTGGTACGGATAATAAGACTTATGATGGCACATGTCAACTCTTTGGCACCAAATGTCAGCTTGAAGGGACAAAAATAGGACGCCAGCTGCACATAGACTATATGGGCTCCTGCAAATGTAAGACTTGTTTTTCTATGAAGAATTCACCTAGGTATAAGACCCAATAGCCTTAACCAGCAGTTAGCCCTGAGTTATCTGCTTTCTACCTGTGCTCTCCCCCTTCTGCATCAATTATCTGCTAAATAAGATCTTCAAACCCTAAACATGTCCAAAAAGTCACTTTTTCTATAATTAAGGGTATAATTATCTGAATCCTAAAGACATCCCTCTTGTGCTTACACCAATTTGTTGTCAACCCTATCTTGCCCCTGCACTCTTACATGCTCCCATTGCTATAGCATCTGAAGATGTTTTTTTAATACCTTGACGAGAAAACCAGCATTTTCAGCCAGTTAATAAATGAAAATGTCAAGTCCAATAACTCCCCCCCAAAAACTACTTAGATGCTAAATGCAGAAATAAGGATTTAAAAGCCAGAACTGATTTCCAAGCTCTTCAATTGCTCCATACCTTGGGAGGAAAGGTGCTGCACTCTCAGCCAGAATGTTCCTTTGCTGTCAAGAACTCTGCTTTCATGCAACTGACTGATAACAGTTTCACTGCACAACTCTGCTCAGAAGCTGCACAGATAAAGATTGTGGCTTGCACAACTGGGTAAGCATGTGCACCAAAGAATTGTAGATTTGTAATTGAACCCATTAGTTGCATTCCCAATTTTATGTGTTAACTGCTCCATCAATTTTAAGCTTAACTGAAAGTTTGCTAGTGAGAATCAAATCTAACTTGGCTCAGAAATGCTTGAATGGGGACTTAACAGATCACTTGTTAACAAACGCTTTCCTGTTTGGCACAGACATCCCCCACTGTACTGATTATGAAGTGGATCAGTTCCCCCTCCGGATGCGAGACTGGCTCAAAAACATCCTTATGCAATATTATGAACGTGATCTGGATGGTTCTGGATTTCTAACCGAAAAGCAAAGGAGTAAGGTCAGCAATCCTTTTAAAATAAGATCTGCAGTTACATTGTTAGAGCTGGACTAACCATGTGAATCACTTTTTTCTTCACATCTTACAAGTTCTCCCATTTCCTAAGAGCATTCCCTTTCTGGTTAAGGCAATTTAAATTCAATTAGATTCACAAGTTGCAAAATACACTTACATGTCCCCTTGCACTTATTGAAGCTGAGATGCATTTCTGCTATGAATGTTCCTTTTGTCCAAGCAAATGCAAGCCAAGTCTATTACTTTGAAGTCAGTATCTACAGACAAGAGGCAGAAGAGAAAGAATTAATGCACACCTAGATAAACATTGTTCACTTGAGAAGACATGAAACAGCTTCTGTTCAGGGAAGTGCTTTGTGACAATTCTCTTGGAAAGATCAACTAATACGCAGATAAGGATGACCCAATTCATGCAGTCAATGCCATTTTCCAAAGGACTTAAAGAAACTAAGCAGCCATAAGATGGAAGGTCTGGGTATGGATAACTAATTAAAAGACAGAACAAGAGGGAACAGTCAGCCAAGAGCTCACCTGTGGAGTTCCCCAAGTTGAAAGGTGTGCCATTCAGCTTTCATCAAGTGACCTGGAAGAGGAACACAGGTGACAAAGTCTGCTGACAATGTACAGGTAGTCAAAAGAAGGACTTGGACTCACCATGAAGAAAACTGCTCAAGGACCTCATGAGACTGAGTGACTGGGCAGTCACACAGCAGGATTGGAGACAGAATTACAACAGAGTTTAGGGGACCCTTATGGGGGCAGGGGATCCCTGCCTTGCACTGACCAAAAGTAGCTCCTCTTCTGTTCTCAAGACACACCTTGTACTTAGTCATCAATGCAGAAGTACCTGAGAATGGACTCAACAGTTAAGGGTATTGTTTGCACTTTTTAATCCAGCCACATCCACTGTCCGTCTACATCATGATATTAAAGGGCTATAAAATTACACATCTGATGCTCAGTTTTAAGAGAAAAGAGCTGTTTTCTACCATCCAATAGACCTGCAGCATCACACTACATTGGTTTAAAATAGAGTAAGCATCTATTACCATTGGGCTTTTTTTTTAGAGAAGGATTTATGTCAAGTGAATTGGTGACAGTAGTTTATATTTGAAGATATATATGCCATAAATGCCTAAAGAGCCATAAGTGTTAGAAAATAGTTTAAGTTAAACCAAGACCTGGGCTGCTCTAACTCTGGAGTAGGAAGTGCATGCAGTAGGTCACAACAGGTTTAAATATGCTTGAGCAGCACCAAAGTCTACTTACAGTTACCAAGAGGGACATTGGGCTACCTGGAACATCTCATACTAAATGGTACAAATTAAATAATTTCTGAGATAGTTTATTTCACACCAAAATCTGTTGCTTGCCTCAGGAAAGATGATCAACAAATGTGATAAAATTGGTTTCATCTCCTACCAACCTGAGACTACTGCCCTGCTTAGCTGAGTCTGATGATTAGGCCACAGGAATTTATCTTCCTTTCTAGTTACTACCATAATTGACATGGACAGCAACAAAAATCATCTGGACTCCTTGCGGCAAACTTTTCATGCTGCATATGGTCACAAACACTAAAACCCATTTCCCTGGTGGTATTTTATCAAGTTTCATTTCTTCAAACCACCTCCTTGCTGAATAGTTCTCTTCAGGACAGATCTTTATTTCTAAACAAAAAAAATATCACTTTCTCTGTTGTGTTCAGGTCAAAAAAATCTACCAGAATGACAAGCGCCTTGTGGCTGGTGACCATGCAGTTGAGTTGCTCCTGCATGACTTTGAGAAAAATTATCACATGTATGTGTATCCGGTGCACTGGCAGTTTCATCAGCTTGATCAGCACCCTGTTGACAGGTAAAAAAAAAAAAAAAAAAAAAAAATCATCTTTGCAGGTTCAGTTCCAATTTGCTGTTTAAGCTCAGGCTGTTTTACTTTTCTAAAAACCATTCGAAGGATTCTCTACAGATAGGACCAGTCCCTCAGCTGATAGAAGCCAGTATCCCCCTCTTTCTAAGCAGAGACTCACCTCTAACAGAGCTTCTCTCACTGTTTTGCTGGACCCATGTCTTAGGTCAGAATTTGCTATCCTCTTGCCTTTCATAATCACGTATTACACCTTAAGCTATACAGCTTAATAGCTACTAATGCCCTGATCCTGGAAGCAAACAAGGTTCATGTTGCTACTGAAGCTAAGAGCAACAGGCTAAGTACAAAGGGCAGAGGCCTGTCAGCAATAATTCACTAGTGAGATACCCATAATTTTCAACTAATACTACAGAAGTCTCCCAGTTTAAGGAGCAGATATGGTAAGACAGCACTGGTGTCACAGTTCAGAGGAAGCCCCCGGCTTCTGAGCACGTGACTCAGATTTCAGCTATCAGGCTTTTGGTCATGACACTCGGTGGTGGGATCCATGTTTCAAGACTGCAGGCCCTCAATACCTTGTGCTGATCACACCTTCTGTCTTAGAACATAGCTAAGCATCTTTCCAAGATTGATTGCCTGAAGATTAACGGCAAAACTCCACAACTGATGAGTTGTGAGCAAGGTTGCAATAATACTTCTAGAAAAAAATGTTAGCAAACAAATAGCAGTTAAAACGTTTTATCTGGTATATACATCATCATAATGACCTGTGACAGATTCACTACAGAAGCACCACAACAGAATCCATGGGTGCATCTCTATCAAAGCCACCATTGTCATCTTCTAGCAGCTTAGATCATCTTTGATGATCCTGATCATTTATTAATGAAATACAGCTCTACATACTTGCTCTTTCTTTCAGATTATTAACACACTCGGAGCTCGTGCCTTTGAGAGCCTCCCTTGTTCCCATGGAACACTGCATAACCCGTTTCTTCCAAGAGTGTGATGGAGACCAAGACAAACTCATTGCTTTGAAGGAATGGTGCCACTGCTTTGGGATTAAGGAAGGTAAACCTAAAAGAACAGGCAGATGTATATGACAAAATGTTCCTATTGAGATGAGGCACATTCTCAGACTAAAACATATAGGAAAGAGCTTGTAACCAGAAGCTTATGGCTACTGTGCATGGAGACAAATGGAACAGTAAGACAAGACAAAGACTGCAAAAGGTGCAAGGTTCTGAATTGTTTTATAAAGATAGGAAAAAGTAATCTTTTCCATGAGGAAGAAATTAGGAGGTGGTATGTACTAAATATCAAATCATTCCTGTACGGTGTCTGAACCTATACATTCTGCATGTCTGTCTGTCAAGAAACACTGTATTTTATCCTTCAGTGCCAAAGGAAAGACAAAGTGAGCTTGTACTTTTAAATCAGTGGTCAAAGCATATTGATTGAAAATGCATTTAAAGAAGGGAAAACAACTGAGACCTCTCACTGATCAAGTGACTATGCTCACCTCTAGATTACTATATACAATACAAATGCTGTCATCACACTATAGTTGCAAGTCAAACCGTCTATTTTACCTAATCTGCAAGATGCAACACATGTTCAGACAGTACCCACCAGATTGCATGCATCAGGAGGCTTAGGCAGAGGCAGGAACAGTTTCTGAATCCTAAATGGGCTAGGCATATGTTTGGTTCAGCTCAATCCACATCGAGACTTCTCTAGGAGAGTGAGAAGCTAGGTACTACTGTGCTGGTGATGTCTCTAGAATTAGGCAGCAGCTGAACAAAAGCTGTCATTATAGCAATTTGAGATTTACATAACTACATTCAACCTAAGGCATTTTCGCAACCTACCTTCTAATCTAGCCCTGAGTGACAGCTAAACAATAGTACCAGTCAATAAGCAAGGGTAGCTGTAGCACAGGTTAATCCTAGAACAGTTATGTGACAGAAGGCAGACATGCAGAGCCTTCGCTTCTCAGAATTTTTCGAGCTCTTCTGATGACAATTTACCAGTCATAAACCACGTGTGGAAGTAAGCTGCAGTAAGTTATCATACCACACACATACTGCTGTCAATGATTGCTCATCCAAAGAGGTGTTTAGGGTCAGTCATTTGTGAAGAGAGGGGTGGAAGGGATTCTTGGCTCACAAACAGGTTGAGACCTAACACTAGAAACAAGCAAGCACCTATCTAAATGAATGGCTCCTGAATATGATAGCAACTGCCGTACTTGTTTTTTATGAGGGATAGCATTCCCCTGCATGAGCCCTCTGAAACTTTAATGTATCGCTTTCTTGTTAGTGATACAGTATAAAAACGTCTCTTTGGTATCAAAGGTTAATAACATTTTCTTCTTTGTTGCAGAAGACATAAATGAAAATCTCCTGTTCTGAGCCTGGCTGAACAGAATCCCAGTGCTGCACTAAAACTGGTGAAATATGTGAATCCCATTTATTTCTGTAATTAACAGCTTCATAGTTTTCAAGAGGTTCACTGCATTCTTATCAAATAACACGAGTGCAGAAAAGTTAACTACTCCAAGTGGTTCATAGCTAAACAACCAGTCTTATCCCCCTGCATGTATCCATGATCTCTCCAAACCAATAAATAGTACTAACCTGATGACTGAGCTGTTCACAAAACTCTTCAGTAGAATTATAGGATGTGGATTTTACCACACACTGAAGAAAATCACCTTGAAATAGGACTTGTTTCCTTTATTACTGTATTATCAGTTTAACATTCTGCATTGAAGTCTCAAATAAAATCGAAGTCTACCTAGATATATGGGTTTTGTCAAAACTTTGTCAAAGAAAAGGTATCAAGGGAACAGTTCAATGGAAATTTCATTTTAGATTTAAGGGAGGAGAAGAAACTAGAGGCTTGATCATATAAACCAGTTCTTAAACCATAATTACTGGAATACATGAAAAAAATCAGTGCTTTTCAGATACTACTTCTCCCACCTCTTGAAATGCAACACTAATAATACCAGTGCCACACAGAATTCCTGCTATAATGAGCTAATTCTATTAGCATGATGAGTGTGGATGCATGTCAAAAGACTGATTAGCAAAAGGTTCACCATCACAAGGAGCAGAGGATATCACAGCTCCAACACCTCCTTCTTCTCCTTAGCAGGCACATTCTTCTTTCCTCCCACAGAAGCACCAACTGCTGCTACCACTTTTCCTGAGAAAGAAATGCTAACTATTTCTTTCACCATCTCCCAACTTTTGCTTGCCTGAAGACAGGCACAATTTAGGCATAAAAAACAGGACAGAATGAGATTATTGCTGTATCCCATTAACTTTGTGATTTTAAGCCAAGCACTTCACCGAAAACACTCCAAGCATGCTCTGCTGTAAGTAAGAAGCCCCAAATGCTATTCTTACAAAGGAAGATCAGAAAACACCTTTCATCTGAACCATGTCACCTGTCCAATGAAAAGAAAATTGGATTCAGAAATGCTGTTTTGGTAGCTCAAATAGAGGAAGTCCACTTGCCTCTCACTAATTTGCTCTTGAACCAGCAAGGGCTGCTAATCCTAGTCCAACCAGGCCTGATGCTTTGGGAGACAATGAATCAAGCTACTATTATTTTCAACACAGGAACTTCTTACATAAAAGATTATTTGCCACCAAACCCAGTTTCACTGACAGTTCCTCCTGTAAGCCTGACTTGTCTCCCACTTCACGTTCTGTTAACATCACACAACAATGTATATAAATCAACCTGGATTGCATGTACAAAAGCATATTCTCTGTGCCAATTCCATTTGAAAAAGATCCTTTCTCTGGGACTTCAATGTCTCAGGGAAAAAATAATTCTGACAGCATTTTTTCTGCCTGACTGCAGTCTATTGCTTATTTGCTCTTTCAACAGCCAAGAGTCAGCCACCTTAAAACAATCAAATATATTTCACACAAGGACAATTCACAAGGGATTGACCAATTCTCCACTGAGGCTAATACTAACTCGGCTCAAACCAAGTATTAGAAAAAGATACAGTGAAATTGAATTTATCAGGGCAAACAGGGAAAATTTTCCTTTAAACAGTCCAAGTTCTGCAGGGCAAACAACAACCATCACCGAGATGATTACAGCTGTGGATATATGAAGCACCTAATATACTGAGAAGCAGATCAGCATCCCACGTGTTTTGAAATTCTCAGTGATGCTGCCAGTTCTGCTTTTCTACTGCAAGACACAGAAAAGGAGCATTTGCTAATGTATGCATAGAGAGATGCTACAGTCACAGTACAAGAAAAATTTTCACCTGAGCTCTTGTAGTCCATGAGGGGACAAGCACCACCAATATTTAATCTACAAATTATAAGAACATTAAGGATGATAAATGGAAGCTAGTTTCACCATCAATACTTTAACTATATTGTTACTATTCTAGCTTAACTTATAAATATTTTAATCTTTATTATTTCTTCAATTTGTGAAGCAGATAAAATTATCACTAACTTTTATCTTATTTACCTTGTGTAGACTTGATTGTTTCCATTTACTTTTAACTGAACTTAAATTAAACATCTGTCTAGTCATCAGTATTTTCCCTCTCTAGAAGTGAGAGTCAACAGTGAAATCACATTCTTACTAAGACTCAGGCACCCTTTGACACACACACATTCACATACATATGCATATATAGAGAGTACATGCACAAATGTACTCATTGCTCACACTTAAACCATGGCACAATCTTATCCACTGTGTGCAGCTGGTTATAATATGAACAGGACTAAAATTATCTGACTTACTGACTTTCCCTCTATTTCAGCAAAAACAGCAGATCAATGTTAAGTGAGAAGAAAAGCAGATGGGGATAGATGTTTCTAGACAGGTCGGTTACAGGGTATCAAAATCCAGGATGCAGCCATAACTTCCAATCTTAATGGAAGACTGACAACACGTGGGATATTCCAGGAGGAACGTCAACCTGCACTTCCTCTCTCCTGCCAAAACACCCACTGCTACAAACGTAACACCCAACCAGACAATCCTTCCCTCTGATCCAGGACAACCATTAAGTCCTCTGTAGATCAAGTCTGTCCTCCGGACCTAGAACTGTATGTGTCAGGGCAAGCATCCTCATCAGCTGCATGCACTAATCCCTGTGACAATAAATTCAACAGAAATGGCCTGCTCTCATCCCTTTAGGTCTCACTTGCTATCAGGCAGGACATTCGGCTCTCAAGGCAATCATGAGCTCCTCCTCCATTAAATGTGGCTTGAGTCTCTGTGAGTAGAGCTTTCAAGACAACACAAATTGGCTTAAAAACAGAAGAAAGTTTAGCTGTATTTTGTTAGTTTAGGGTTAAGAACAGACAAAACACCATAAATACCACAGATGAGCAACATCACCTATGTCCAGCTTCCACCAACTGGCACTGAGCAGCAGTTAACTCACAAAACCTCTCCTCCAAAATTTAGGGAAATTGCTCAGTTAAGTAGGTTTCCTCTGTGCGAAGAGGTGCAAGGATCTAATCAAACATTAACAAACCAGAAGCATATAGCTGCCAGAGGCAAGCTGGCTTATCTCTTTTCACTGACTAATCTTTGAAAGGAGATTAGGCTCCTTATCAGTGCTGTACTGATACCAGTTGTGTTTAATTTTCAGTCCTCCTCCACAGCCACAGGGAAGACTCCAAAAAGAAGGAAATACAGGTGACCACCACCTCACCTGTGATTCTGGTTCAACAGTCCAGGCCAACAGGTGTGGGGTCGCCATTTTACACTTTGTGGCAAAACACTGATCGGTTTTGCATGAATGCTTCCCCAAAAAACCATCCTCATGCTATAAACTCTGGATAACATGTTCTTCTTCTCAATGGCCTTGCATATACTCTACGGGAAAAGAGCCAATTAGCATTTCATCACATTTCCCAGATATATCTGAAGTGAATTTCTATTTCTATCTGGTTTTGGGTTTTGTTTGGGTTTGATTTTTTCATAGAGTGGCTGTTATTTTCATTGAGGATGAGGACAATCTTTCCAACTAGTCAACAAATAACTGCACAAACACAAACATGCCAATATAGAAAATCCTATAAAAAGCCTATTTTCTTCTTTCTGCTCCTTCATCCCTGTGCTTTACGAGCAATATCTACTGTATTGCCTCCAAAACAGGCTAAGAGGATGCTTTGTAACAAATTTACAGTTCACCTCAGATCCTTAAGTTGCAAGTGCCTGTGTGATCCAAGTATGTATTATGCTTTATGCCCTCAGAGATGCACCCAGAAAAGAGCATACAGATGAGCTGTTGATGTCGGTGGCCTTGAACAGATCCAGCACAATGCCAACTTCTTCTGAATTGCATCCTGCAAGATTTTCCCGATATATGTATTAATTTAAACTTATTTACCAGTTCAGACTTTTCTACTAAAATAATCACCAACCAAACACTGTAATTGAAAACTTATTTAGAAACTTGTCTTTTAATAGCTTTTTGCTTAACCTGCATATAGTCGGATGTCAGAAAGCACAGCTCAAACTGCAAGTACGCTGCTGATATACAGCTCGCTTCAAAAGGCAGCAGTAACTTTAATTCACAAGTTGCCATTTCTTCAGGAATAAAGAGGTAATTTTTTAATTTTAACACTCCTTCTCAGTTAGCAGCTTCAATACTCTAGGCATTATCACCCAAGTATTCTTCCAGCATCACTAAAGTGCACAACCCTACAGTCAGAATATTTATATTGAAAAAATGTATAACAAATACTCCTTTTATAACATGCACACACACTTCCATTGCCAAACCTGTCAGTCCTCCAAGGATTAGTAGGGGTCATAGACAAGAAGACTGGTTTCTTTATCAGCTGAGAAATAAACCAAACATCCAAAAGGTCTTAAGAAGGTCTGATTCATGACGTCTTGTGGTTTTCTGATGTAAGCCATAATACTCAAACTGTATATATAGACACCAGCCATTCACACACCACTATCACCAGAGCCAGCCGACTTCGTCTGAGCTACTAACCAGCTGTTCAACATGCAACCCAAAGGTAATACAGATGCTTTAATGTTACCTAGGCTAAATTTCGTAACAAAACTCGTATGTGGTATGGCTGTAGACTGCATGATTGTGAATTGGAAGGAAAATAATTTCTCCACCATGAGAGTGGTCAAGCACTGGCATAGGTTGCCCAGAGAGGTTGTGGATTCTCCATTCTCAGAGATGCTTCAAAACCTGACTGCAGAGTCCTGGCTTCTTCTCGCTGACCCTGTTTGAGCATGTCTGGGGAATGGACTAGACCTCCAGAGGTCCCTGCCAACCTCAACCATTCTGAGAGTCTGAAAAAAGAGCATGTGATAAGAACTACTCAAGAAATGCCAATGCTCTGCTGCTATGCCTGTTGCTTAAAACAAAAAATTGCAGAAA